ACAACATGCATAAAAACAAGACAGAGCAAAACCAAGCAACTATGTACAACAAAACAGCAACAACATCAATCCACTGACGGAGAACAAATTAAAATATACCAAGAAAGAAACGCTTGTGTTTTCCAGTCTAGCCTGTTGGGGCACCATGCCTATCTATTTTGTTCTTATCTTTCTCTCCTTTTTTTTCTTCAAAGAAATGATCTTTTGGCTTCCTTCATAGATGATGTTCTTGACGTCATCTCACAACTTATCTGGTCATGAGTGCTCAATGCATCAAATCTGTTCCTGAGAGGCTCTTTACATGAAGGGGGGATATGCTCATACTCAAGATCAGGTTAAGTAAGACTGCTTTCCCTGGACTGAAAGCTTGGAAACAAGTTTTGTTGAAGGGGAAGGATATCCCTATGCAGCTATCAGTAAAATTCATGTATTAAATAATTATCTTACTTGAATTAAAGAATATTGTTGACCTTTGGCATTTAGGCTTCTGGTTGAGTTCCAGATTTTTTTCTTTTTTTTTTCTTACTACGTTGTCTAAGGCTGTGTGTCAATTTTGCTGGGCCTCTATTCTCAATGATTTGGCAATTAAGAGCAGTCAAAAGAAAGGGGGTTTCCTCAGGAGAGTGGTCCGCTTTTAATACGTCCATGGATGCTCTGACAAAGCTTGCTTACTTTTTGCTGAGTAGTCCGGCTCCTGTGTCTGCTTTGTCACTTTAGCTCTTGGGCCTTAAACCAGAGTCTTGCCATTATCACTTGCTGATCCTGGGAGTCACTGTATCTGTCAACCTTGGATTCGTTCCTCTAAAACCAGCGGCCTGCTACCTGTCCTGCTGCTCTTGGGACCCTTGGTTCCTACCCCTGCTGAGGCAGGAAAAGCCTCCAGCCTGACATGTGACACCCCAACCTGGAGCTTATCTGTTTCTACACAACTACAGGAGCCATTTCCATTAATTAAGTCTCAGAATATGCACATATGAGGGGGCACACAAAAAATCCTCCCAAAACAATTGTGCTGGGTAGAGCCGAGCTTTTAATAGGAAGCATTTTTTTCCACTAGGCAAGCACTGAACAATTCACTCTGAGTTTAAGTGCACCCAGTTTTGTTGCCTGGGAAGGTTTTCCCTGGTCACAATGAATTTTTTGTAAAAGCAGTTTCCCTCGAACCTCATTTTTTGGTGATGGCTGATTTAAGAGAACAGTGTGTGGCTGTGAAATTTTGTTTCCTACTCGGGAAAAATGCTGCAGAAACTGTTGTGATGTTGAACACAGCATTACAAGGACAGTGCCAGGGGAAGAACTCAAGTGTATGAGTGTTTTTCTAATTTCAAAAAAGGTGAAATGTCCATTGTTGACAAACCTCATTCTGGATGTCCATAAACTTCCTGAACAGGTGAAAATGTCTACTTGTAGTGCAGCTAGAGTTTGTTCCACCAGGTCAGAGACTGTTAATCAAACTTTCTTTTTAGAGGTTCTGAAAAGACTTCGTTAACAGTGTGTGATCAAAAAGGCCTGATTTGTAGCAGATGGGGAACTGGTTTTGCCACAACAACGTGTGTGCAGTAGAGCTAGGAAGTATCGGGATGGACTCTCATCATGTTAAGGCGCCTGGGAGGCCAGGGTTCCTGTGGAGAGAACCTTCACATTCATGGGTTGGAGATACGTCCCACTCACATTCTCTTCGGTGAAAGCAGTATGGAACTTATTAAGTCAGTAATTTTGCCAAACAGGACAGAGGAGAACAGCTCCAATGGGTTTCCCCAGCTGTCAATCTTTTCAGAAGCAGACTACTTCATTTTACTCCAAAGGAGCAGCTGATGAGTGACCCAAAGCTTAACGCACTGCACCTCCTAGACCCCTTGGGTTTAATATTTATACGAAATAATTTATACTAAATCACGGCCAATTACATACGGGACAATCATCTCCAATTTGTATTATAATTTGCTCAGTTATCTCCAGCCATCAGGCATAGTTCCATATAAGTACTCAAGAAATATTTACTGCAAATGATGAACTCTTATACATTTTAAAAGTATTCCAATTCTTCTATGGTGATATAATGTACACATCGTGTATCTTTATATTTGAACAATTATATATCAATTGTAAAGAATAGTTTGTCTAAGATAGGTCAGAAAAGTCAATTCATAAGCATAAACAGCATTAGCAAAACTTTTTAAAAAGTACTTACCACTCTTCAATGGAATCAGCCATCATACAGTTAGGAGCAGGATTCAGTCCATATGAAAAATATTAAAACAGTGTCTACAAAACAAACAAAGAAATACATAGAGAGTTACAGTCAAGGCACATCCCTGAGAATTCTCTCTTTATTGTCTTATCCATTTTTTTTACCCTCCTAATTTCTGCCTCCCTTTTACTCCCGGGTCATTTGGGGGGTGGGGTGCAGCTAGATGGAGGGGAGATGGGTTTCCCTGCATGTTCTCTCACACCCTTCCATTCTTTTCTCCTCTCTTCATCTTCTCTCGTTCTTGTGCCTCTCTCCTCCTGTCAGGACAGCCTCGGCTAGTGTGCAGCACCCACTCTGAGCTCGCCACTCTTGGCAGCCATCTGGTAGGGAAATGGCGCTGTGGCTCAAGAGATGGGCTTGCTTTCAGGCTCTTATATGTGAGAAAAAACATGAAAGACAAGTAACACTGTTGTTTTACAACAAAAACTTAACAGTAAACAGCAATATGAATACATGGATGCATTACATAAAATACTTTCTATGCAGTATCCAGCTTAATTTTCACAGAACTGTAATATTGTTCTCACTTTTCAGACGATAAAACAAATATCAAAAAAGCTTATGAAATTTACCTAAAGTTACCCAACTGACATCCAATGCAGGCTTGATGTCAAAGTGTACATCCTAAAACAGTCTAGTACCTCAACCCAGTTCTTAAATTTATTTCTAGATGCATTTCAACCTTAACTCTGCTTATAAACAATATGAAAACAATGAACTATAATTAGTTAAAATCTTAATGACCTGTCCTAATTACTCTTTTGTGATCTCTGGCAATTTTTAACTTATATTTGACTTCAGGACAATACAATTGAATATACAATACTTATATGAGTTCATCTATATCAAATGCTTCATGTTCCTCTAGAAAAGATTTTACCAATGAATTAACTTGGGATTTAGTTCAATATCTAGATTTGTTCTTTTCTCTAGGTTTAGTATTCATTAAAAGTTTAAAAGGCATTTAAGAGACCTTGTAGATCCATTTTTTTGAGAGAAAAAAACACTGTGACCTAAAATTTGAAGGTTCAGCATGGGTACCTCTGGTGGTGTACTAGTTTGAAGCTGGGCTGCTACCCTTAAGTCCAGCAGTTCAAAATCATCAGATTCTCTGAGACAAGACTTTTTACTCCTGTAAACAGTTACAGTCCTAGAAACCCACAAAGGCAGGTTACCCAGTCCTACAGGGTTGCTGAGTTGGAATCGACTCGATGGAGCCCTGGTGGTGCAAGTAGTTATGTGTTGGGCTGCTAACAGAGAGGTGAGCAGTTCAAAACCAGTAACTACTTTACTGGAGAAAGATAAGGCTTTCTACTCCCATAAACAGTTAGTCTCAGAAACCCACAGGGGCAGTTCTACCCTATCTTATAAGATCGCTACACATAGCAATTGACTCAGTGGCAGTGAGTTTGACTTAAGTAGAGGTACACCAATGGAGTACAAATGGCATAATGGGTTGCTCATTAGGCTGCTAACTGAAGGGCAAAAGTTTGACTCCACCAGCTGGTCCATATGAGGAAGATGAGGCTTTCTGCTTCCATGCTGATTTATAACACTGGAAGTCCCAGGGAGCAGTTTGACTCTGTCCTATAGGGTCATTCTGAGTCAGAATTGACTCAATAGCAATTTGTTGTTGTTGTTGTTGCTTTATAGGTACATACAAGGAGCCCTGGTGGTGCGATAGGATAAGCACTATGATGCTAACCCCAAGATCAGGAGTTCAAAACCTACCAAATGCTCTGAAGGTAAATGATGAGGCTGTCCGCTCCTATAAGGAGTCACTATGTATCAGAATCGACTTGATGGCTCTGAATTTGGGGGTTTTCCCCATAGGTGCACTAGGAGCCGTGGTGGTGCAGCAGGCCAAGTGCTGGGCTGCTAGCCAAAGGGATGGTGGTTTGAATTGACAAGCCGTTCTGAGAGAGATCTTAAAACAGTCTGCTTCACTTGTACAACCTCGGAAATCCTAACAACAGGTCTCCTCTGTGCTGTGGGGCTGCTGTGAAGGAGCTCCAGAAAGTTCACAGGAAAACTCCATGATCTCTCCTTTCATTTTCCATGAATTTTGGGGGGGAAATTAAATTAAAAGGTCACATGGAATTCCCCTATAGACGTTGTATATGCACACACTTACTACCTATGTAGCGCTTACATATTTTTTGCTTGCTGCAAAAGGGAGCATGTTATAACATGTATCAAAATTGTCTCTTATTCTGTGTACAACTTAGTGTGTGTTTACTTGGTCAAGTTGTATAGATCTTCAATTGATAGTATCTTTCACATGACCAATCTACTCTCTATAAAGTGAATGACCCTCCCTCCCAGTCTTGGTAACTATCAAAGAACATGTCTTCTACTTTGATTATCAAAGTTGCTCAAACAGAGATGTCAACACAAAGACATTTGCACACAACTATCTCCAAGTTCCTGAAATGGCAAAAACAACAAAAAGACACCCCCAAACCAAAATAAAACCCATGTACACTGGTACAGATAAAAGCTCTGGACACACAGAATCGAGGACAGATAAAATCTCTCAGGAACAATAATGGGAGTTGCGATACCAAGAGGATAGGGGCAGGAGGGGGAGGATAGGGGCAGGAGGGGGAGGATAGAGGGCAGATGGGGGGAGAAAGGGGAAACCGATCACAATGATTAATGTATTAAATCTGCACCCATCCACCCAGGGTGATGAACAACAGAAACGGGTGAAAGGCAACAGCAGACGGTGTAAGATATTAACATAAAAATAATTTATGATTTTATTGTTTTTTAATAATTTATAATTTATCAAGGGTTCATGAGGGTAAGAGGATGGGGGAGGGAGGAAAAAATGAGGAGCTGATACCAAGGGCTCAAGTAGAAAGCAAATGTTTTGAAAAGGATGATGGCAACATATGTACAAATGTGCTTGACACAATGGGTGTATGGATTGTTATAAGAGCAGTAAGAGCCCCCAATAAAATGATTTAAAAAGCAAACAAACAAAACCCCCCACAACACTGTGTGGCTCATAACAAACTATGAGCCTTGAGGAGAATGGGGATTCCAGAACACTTCATTGTGCTCATGTGGAACTTGTGCATGTATCAAGAGGCACTTTGCAAAAATAATATTGCATGCTTTAAAATCAAGGTGAGGGGGTTAGGGTTGTACCCTCTCACCAAAATTATTCAATACGCATACGAAGCAAATAATGAGAAGCTGGATTATATGACGAACAAGGCATCAAGATTGGAGGAAGGCTAATTAACGACTTGTGATATGCAGATGGCATAGCCCTGCTTGCTGAAAGCGAGAAGGATTTAAAACATTTGTTGATGAGGGTCGATCTATGTCTTTAGTATGGATTACAACTCAATGTAAAGAAGTCCAAAATCCTCACAACTGGGTTAATAGGTAACATGATAAATAGAGAAAAGGTTAAAGTTGTCAGGATTTTGTCTTGCTTGGATCCAGTCAATGCTCGTGAAAGCAGCAGTTATGAGATCAAAATACGAACTGCATTGGGTAAATCTGCTGCACAAGACCTCTTTAAAGTATAGAAAAGTAAGGATGCTATTTTGAGGCCTCAACGGTGCCCTGACCCAGTGGTTCTCAACCTGTGGGTCGCCACCCCTTTGGGGGTCAAACAAGCCTCTAACAGGGGTCACCCAATTCATAACAGTAGCAAAATACAGTTATGAAGTAGCAATGAAAATAATTTTATGGTGGGGGGGGCCACCACAACCTGAAGAACTGTATTAAAGGTTGAGAACCACTGCCTGACCCAATCCATGGTATTTCCAAGGGCCTCCTATGCATGCGAAAGCTAATAAGATAGTTAAGATTTATTTTGCCAACCTGGCCGATAAACACATGTGGGATTAATTGAAGGTCAGAGCTATTTATTAATGGCTCGGTGAGCCTCGCCTTTCTTGTTCTTGGGTCTTTTGCTCTCTGATGGTCAGACCAGGGTACAGCTGCCTTAGCTAGTTCCCTGCTTCAGCTGGCAAGGCTCACTTCTTGCAAGACATCCCTAAGAAGCCACATGGGCCTACCCTGATGCAGTCCTGGGCGCTGGAGCAGCCACATGGAGACCCCTGCCAGCGCTGAGATGCTTACACACTCACCGATTCAGCTTTCTGCCTGCAGTTGGCATCATTGCATGTGGTTTATGAGATTGAGGAGGAGTTCGTAGATCGGTATGGGTCAGATGGGCTAATGTTGGATATATGGGCTTGGACAGCACTGGGCTGGGATGCTTTCTGAATGTACACCTACCCTTTGTATAAAACTCTCTCTTATGTACATGAGTTTCTGTGAATTTGTTTCTCTAGTTGACCCAGACGAACACAGTAAGGAAGATAAAAGACGAGGTGCATGGGAATCCTGGTGCTGGCAAAGAATACTGAAAGTACCATGGACTGCTGAAAGATGGAACAGATGTGTCTTGAAAGAAGTACAGCAAGAATGCTCTTTAGAAGCAAGCATGGAGAGAATTCATCTCACATACTTTGGACATGTTTTCAGTCCTGGAAAAGGACATCAGACTTGGTAGAGAAAAAGAAAAAAGAAAAAGAAAAAGACCCTTGTCAAGATGGACTGACATGATGGCTGCTACACTGGGCTCAACCTGAAGAACAATTGTGAGGCTGGCACAGGACCAGATGGTGTTTCGTTCTGTTGTACACAGGCTCCTGATGAGGCGTAGCTGACTCAATGTCACTGCCTGACTTTCTGAAATGGCAAGAGTGGCTAACAAAACCCCCGAAATGATAAACAATAGTAATTCTTGCTATGGGAACATTGAAACTACGTAACACATAACCAGAGACCGTGATAAAGATGATACTGATTTGGTAAGCCTTTCCACAAATTCCTGGGAGGCAGTCACTTAAAAACCTTAAGCTGCCTTCATATTTTCTCTACCAGAACTCATCTCTCTCTACCAAACCCAAAGCCAGAGTCATCAAGCCAACTGACTCGCAGTGACGCTATACAGGGTTTTCAAGGTTGAAAATCTTTACAGGAG